TTATTCTGCTGATAGAATTTCATAACTTTCTCTTATCACATTCACCGATTACATGCAAATGACTGATATAAACTACCGTTAGTATTACCTTACTTTTGAATTAATAATTAACTAACAAAAATTAACATTTTAAATATTAGTACTACATTAAATTTTATATTTTAAACAAGATTGTTCGTAAAACGTAGTCATATGCTATGTATGTACCTATAGTTTTGCTGTATAGAGCAGAAGCCACGTGTCATCATAATATGTAGTGTAATTGTCAAATCTGATCGCCGGAGGACCTGATTGGTTAAGCCAAGGTCACGAAATCTGATCGTCCATGCTCAAAGGAACAGGCCGTGTGCCGCTTCTGTTCTCTTCGCTGTATGTACAAGTTGCATAGTTGCGAGGAAAGCGCGGCAAGACGGATCGTGTTATTTTTTGTTATAGGAATCGCTATTTGATTCCACATTCCTTTTCACTTGTTTTAAGGGACAATTAGAAGAATGACTTCGGAAATTGATAAAGAGGAGTTAAAAAAGCGTTTGACACCGCTGCAATGGCATGTAACGCAGGAAAAGGGGACAGAGAGGTACGTACGTACGTAAGACGTGAATTGAATTTTCTTATTATGGAATAAGACGTGTGTCAGATTATATTATCGTATAGCTACTTTATAAGTCGCACGGGTGACGTAAGCTTTCTTTTCGTGAAACAATACTTCAAGTAACGAAATTTCCATGCACGCATTGCGTACGTTTCTATACGTATACCGCTTTACGATTGTTTATAGAAATTTGCGACGATAAATGGAATAATACTCAACTGTCCATTTCTTTTTAATGCATAATTAACATATAGATAGTAGTTTAATTTTGTAATTTGTAGTCGTGCATAAATGAGTCAAGTATTAATTATGATCAGCTGATTGAATATATCTATTTGTATTAATTTTTCTAACAGTTCTTAAACAATACTAGAGTACTATTGTAATCCTAGTGGAATAGTTTGCTATAAATTGTAATACCTATGATCCAATTTTTCAAAAATATTATCAATATGGTGGAAACTGGTTTACTTTTAGGTGACATGTGACTAAAATAGCTTTTTCAAGAGCATGTGTTGGCTTGACTTTGCGTCATGACCGAGTGGTTTAAAAATAAAACATAGGTGTTCATAATTAACTTCCTGCTAAGCATGCCTGTCCATGGTGCTAACCATTTTTCTTTTCTTTTGTAGACCATTCAGTGGTTGTTACAACAAATTCTACGAAAGAGGCACATACACCTGTATAATTTGTGATCAAGAATTATTTTCTTCTGATACAAAATATGACAGTGGCTGTGGTTGGCCTGCATTCAACGAAGTATTGGAACAGGGACGAGTCAAGTTAACCAAAGATACTACGCATGGTAAGCAGATTTATGAATTATACTTTTATTGATAAATATTTTTAGTATTATGCTCGGTTTCTTAGTACAATAACAATATTTATTACATATATAATATACACTCATTAAAAGTATCTGCTTAAATGGTAGATAAATAAACTCTATAAGGCAAAGTTCTATTTATATGTAATAACATCCAATAGTGTTCATGAATGTTAGAGTTTTATTTATGTACCATACTTAAACATTCTTCATTATTTTTCTTACATTCATACTTTCACAAAACCTATCCTAACTCTTAGTTCTGCATTCCTAAGCCTTCCATTACTCACATTTCACTATTTGATTTATTCTTTATTATATTTTACAAATAGCACAAACATGTATGATTAAATTAATATAGTTCTTTTATTATTAAAATATTTCATTATAGT